GACAGAAACCAAGATAATAAAGAAAACGTGTCATAAATGTTTTAATTGTAACACATGGCGTATAGTGATGAAGATCACAAACAGATTACCTATCTGACTATATAAAGCTGAAAAACCGGATTTTTTCTTTCTTTCTTTCTGTCACTGTATGCCATTAGGGACGCCCCTAGCTATTATTTAAATTAACAATAAATTCAGTATATTATTATTTTTTACATTTGTTTTAGTATCAATAAAAGTTTTAGAAGGAAATATTCGATTTTTCTTGATATTTTTTGCATTAGTTTAAGGTTTCTTTCCTTCGTGTTGTAACGTGAGTTGAGTTTCATAAATGCCAACAGTAAACATTGAATGAAGTGTATTTAAAACTACACGATCCAGTTACGGTTTAGTGAATTTTACTGCATAAAAATGTATCCATACATTAATTGGTAAATAGAGAGAGAAAGAGAGAGGGAGAGAGGGAGGGGGAGAGGAAAAAAATCACTTTTTCTCTTATGTAAATTGCATGAAATAAGCTCATTTCGTCTTAAAATCGACCGCGTATTAATGGTTAAATAAAAAGTTACTNCAATTTTTCTGTTTCTAAAATATACTGCTGAAAAAAATTTTATCATTATCTTTTACTTTCGAATGCAGATTTGCAGGTTTAATATTACTATAATGTGTCATCTTATTAAAAATGTTTCTCAGTAATATGCTTAAACATTTTAAAATATAAATAACATTAGTCGAAGAATTAATATTAGTTGAAATTTAAAAAACTGAGTTAATTGGAAATACGTTCTATATTTGGTTTAGATTTATTTGTTTTACGCAGCAATTACAATCTATATAAATAAAAATGTACGGTAAATGTTCGTTTGTTCAAAATCTTAAATCTCCGAAAGTACTTCACCGATTGCTTTGAAATTTTGAAACAACGTTGCATTCGAATACGGGCGTGTTTTTATATTATATAGATGTCGAATTCCCCCCCGGGGGAGAGGGACAAAATTAAGGCTTACCGTGAAGCACTCTGCTTCAATTATAACGTTTTAGATGCGGTTTTTTGTGTTTATGATTGAGTTTTAATAGAGTTCTTCAAGAGAATGTACAGTAAGAAAGGATTTTTCGAAATTCCTCCCACGGGAAATGTTATACATTTATAATAGATACATTTTGAGCCACAGCAACGTGTGGCCGGGTACAGCTAGTTACAGAATAAAATTACAATTTTTTTAGAAAATTTCCATGTTAAAATTCGTTAATTTAAGTAGTTTTATATCAATTGTCAGACTTTTGTATTTATTAAGTTTTAATTAATTAATTAATATATAAACAAAATTAATTAAAACAATGTTGAATTTTCCATACAAACGTTATTTAAATATTTTTTCCTCTAGCCATTACACTTACTTCAATTGGAAGCATATAAAAAGTATGGCCGAATATATGGGTATGTACTGTACATTTATGTTAGTTATTTTAGATGTTAGTGTTATTTTATACTTTTAAAACATCATATATTTTATAGTATCTATTTGGGCCTTGAACCACAACTCGTTATTGCAGAACCTCATATCTTGAAAAAAATTTTAGTTAAAGATTTTAATATGTTTCACAACAGAGTGGTAAGTTTGAATACCAAAATATTATTAAGCTTTTTATTTTTTAAATTTGAATTTTAAAAAATTTTTATATACATTTTTTGTATTATTTTATTTGAAATGTTTATATTTTGAATCACTTATAACAGTGTTTTTCAATCTGTGGGTCGCGACCCCCAGGGCGGTCGCAAAGCCTTACACGGGGGTCGCGGGTAAAAGAAAAAGACAAATGTTTGTAGGTCCTACACTACAATAAAAAAAGAAAAAACTACAATTTCAGTAAGAAGGCTATACCTGTTTATTTTACAGTATAATTGGTTTTTCGATCGATATTTAGGTCTCAACAGAAAGAAAATTAAATACTGTATGTAGTTTTTAAAATCACTGATATACAGTAGTTTTAATATGGCCCTGGGGAGGTCACCAGAAGTTTTTAACTTGCAAAGCGGTCGCGTATTCAAGAAGGTTGAAAAACACTGACTTATAATATCAATTGAATCCGGTTCAAAATTCCGACAAGATAAAAAGACTGACAACTCAAAATTTCGTCAGTCTAATACTAAAAGTCTACAAACATTGTATGAAAATGGACAATCGATTGCAAATATCTTGATTGATTTTACATGCAATTTATATTTTTGATTTATATTATGCATGAACATATCACAAAAATGCATTTATTACCTTTTTAATTAGAGAAAAATTATCAAGAGAAGGAAATTAGAGAATTAGAGAAAGAAATTAAAAAGCTTACTTTTAATAAAAAGTAAACTTTTAATTTTAAATGTATATTTAGTGGTTTTAGTCGTTTCTCGTGATATTTTCACATAATTGTTAAGAATAGAGTTAACGTTCCTAGAACTATTGAATTTTAATTCAAATGCCTTTGTGTCCTTATTTTATACAATTTATTATATTAATGTCTACTAGGACTTATCATATTATTAGGACCTATTGTGCAGGTGAAATACCAGGTGAACAATAAAGATTTGTTTTTTCTGAATAAGTTTTCCTCAATTTGCAGAATCGGAACACCAATACAATAAGTACATAGAATAAATACAATATAGTATATAGAATTTTAATTTTGTGCTTTTTAGTTATTTATCCAAGATGTACAATACATTACATAATGCACATAATAAATTGTTATTTCAGGACTTAGAGACAGGAAATCCATTGTTCGACAAAATGCTATCCGGTTTGAAAGATGACGACTGGAAAAGAATTAGGTGTATTATGAGTCCCACTTTCAGTAGCAGTAGAATGAGAAAAGTAAACAAATTCTTTCATTAACATAAATATTTTTATTTAACATTTTAATTTGTTTTTAATCTTTGTTTAAAAATTTCATGAGAACTAATATTGCTTTAGCTGATTGTAACCTGTTTATGCTCGCAATCTCCAGCCGATGGCGTTAAAGATTTGATGCTTTTTAAGCTTTTTATTAACTTTTTCCATCCGTCAGACTTACTGTCTAGAAAAAAGTTGCAATTCATCTTCGTCTCAATTTCTGATTTAGTTGAAACTTTACACACATGTGTATTGCCAACGACAGTATAATTTTAAAATAGTTTGCAAACATTTTTAACAATTAGCAAAAAATTACGAATACTTAAAATTTGTACAAAACTTATGATAACATAAGATGGCGCTACAACATACGATTGCTATTTACCATCCTACATATGGGAACGAAATTGAAGACAAAGAATCACGTGGACCTCTGTTACAACAAATCTGTTGGCGGGATAACCATAGTAACATCTGTTACTTTAGCAGAAAGTGGCAAAAGGTAAAGCTATTAATATGGTTATCCCTCCAAATAGCTAAAGTACACCTTTATTCTTTAAGAAAATATATAAAATATACATAAAAGATATTAGTATTCACTACTTTTATTAATCACCTTATCTGCAATTTTGCAGGTCATAGGAGCAGTCATGTTCAAGGTAGAATTCTATCATCAAAGTAAATGAGAGAACTAATCACTCACTATATCAAATCCAAACGACTTAAAGCTTTTTTTTTAATCGAAATCAATCTCACAAAGAACAATATACATAAAATTAAATGCCAAATTAAGATGAATTTCGCTAGTTTAGTGTTACGAACTTATAGTTTAACTAAAAAATAGAAAATAAAAAATATATTAAAAATTATTTTAAAGTAACGGTTTTTATTCGGATAAATGTACAGTACTAAAGAGTAAAAAAATAAATTTTCTTCAACTTTCACAGTATTTTTGGTATTATGATACCAAAAGTAAAAGCGTGAGGCACTTCTATTTAGAAATATTCTATAGCTAAAAATACTGTGAAAGCTGAAGAAAATTTAGTTTTTACTCTTTAGTACATTTATTCGAATAAAAAGCGTTACTTTAAAATTATTTTTTATTTCTGTGGGAAAATTCTTTTCCTCAAATTCCTGAAAAAATGAAAGTAGATAGAACGAAATAATTGTTTCCTTTAGCATCTTATTTAATTCTTCTATTAACCTATTGTTCAGAATTTTGAAAATTGAATTCGTTAATTTTCTGAGATTACTATCACTTTAAAAATTCCGTATGACTTTTAGGCAAAAATACTTTAAATTTTAATATAATTTAGGAAGTAAACAGTTTAAATAAATTTTAACTGCCGTATTCACCAATCCGAGTTAAAGTTTGGGATGAATCTCGAATTATTGCTAAATTGGTATTAGATACGGCATAATTTCTTGTTGCAGAAAGTAAACTATCACTAATTTAGTCATAGTTTACTTTCCATAACAACGAGAAATTACGCAATGTCGCTGATAGAATAAGTGTTGTTGGCTCTGTATTTTTATGCCACTGGAAATATGCAGTTGGTCGTAGGTGATATAAATGATTTAATAGGATAATCTGCGTGTAAAGCTATTAATATAGACCTTTTACATTGCTCAACTCTATGAAAGAAAGCATCACTGTCATTATTAGCACCTTTTTATTCACTATACCATGTGATTAATCGAAATTATTCACCGTATCTGTTAGATACCAACAAATCAATAACTTCGAGTTTCAAATTGGTGAATATGAAAGTGAATAACTCTTCATACTACTCAGTGTTATATAACTCGAGTACATCAACTCTCGAAGTAACTCGTGTTGATGAAACAGGGGTAAGAAGTCATTCATGAATTGTTGGGAAACGAAAATTGTCCAGATCTAAAAACGTCAGGATTGTCTGTACGAGAATAAGTAAACACAATTGTTTGTGAATGACTTAAGATACTTATTTGAAAAAAAAAATCTTGTATCATTTGGTGACAGACACTAATAAATAATTGTTGTCCTTATAAATTTCTGCGCTTAGATTGCGTCCTGTACATTATATTACAAAAAATTTTGAATATTTTCTTTGAATAAATTTTGCATTGTTATGAAATTTTATTATATTTTAAAATTTTACAGATGGCTTATTTGGTCAGGGAATGCACCGAAAAATTTTCAACTGATATGAAAAAAATAATTGAAACTAATAGGGATCAACCAATTGATTGTAAAAAGTAAATAGATTTTTTTTAAATTTAAAATTATTAAATCTACTGTTTAAGTTTCATTTTTTAGTTGTATTGCATATTTAATTTCTTAATAAAACAATCTATGTAATAAAATAAACATATTTTTTAAATTTAGACATTTTTAAAATTAATTTTCTAAGAATTCCACTAATATAAAAAATTAAGAAATTATACTACAGTGATTCATTCGGGACGGAACAATTACTTTCAATATTTCATGATTGCAGTTATATCGTCTTTCAACATGTAATATAAAACCTTGGTCGACTGCTTCGTGATGAAAAAAGAATCGTTCCGTTCGTGTTTCATGTTCGTCCTTTCAATTTATACGGAGATATTCCACTTAATAAGTGTTCCGTTCTGAGTAAATCGTCCCTGTCGGGATAAAATCGTCCGACATACGATTTCCCGCACTTTTCCGTGTTTTCATATGAACGACGGTTGTCACCATGGGAACGCCGATCAGGCGACTTTGGAAACTCGACCGCGGATTGGCTGGAAGACATCGTACGACCAGCGGACGTGCGATAGCGCTACTAAGCCGATTGGCTGGAAGACATCGTACGACCAGCGGACGTGCGATAGCGCTACTAAGCCGATTGGTGGAATTCCATTTCCCTCAATCTGTATAAGAGGATTGAGTTTAGGCGGGAAGTTTAGGCGGGAAGTTTAGTTCGCCTAGGACACTTCAAGGGAACTCACGTTCGTCTAGCTTCGCCTAAGCTTGCCTAGAAGATTGTTTTGTCTCGCTGTGCGGTAACTAACGTTTGAAGGAGTTCGTCGCAAGGTGTCCTTTTCGATGGACCTGTTGTCGTGAATTAAAAGTATTTGAACTTTGTTACACCTGAAGTATTGTAATTGTTGTTTGTGAACTTTTGTAATTGTATGTACTGTACGTTTACTCGTAATATAAACGTTTTTTGTGGAAATTCAACAACGTCACGTCTCGTTTTGAATTTGACTGTCCCACATTTCCTAGAGTAAGAATAGAGACGATACACTGGATATTTAAGATCAAGTGTACCCGCTCTGGATATTATATATTACTCTTCCGCCATGGCTTTGTTGCTTAAACAATAAAGTAGAAAAGACTATAAAAGGTTCGAAAATTCTAACGCTGCATGTTATGATGTCGTGTGCTTTTCTTGCAAAAATGTCGGAAATATCATATAGAGTTTAAGATATATTTGAATTGTTATAACTGTTATTTTCTTAATACAGGTTCTGTACATATTATGATCTTTATAATGAGCACGGAACTAATGAGCATCTGCTCCGTTCTTATTTCAGAAGACCATCCATTATTTTATATGAAACAATCTAAATCAATTTTTCAAATTTAGGATACGAAATTGTTGAAAACGTTTAGTAAATTTAGTTTAGGTTACTGATTTTTTTTTCCGCCAACTCAATAAAACTAGAATATAATAAGCGTGTATAATCAGTTTGATTTTATTTTATAATTTTAATAGTTAACAGAAAAATATTAAAAAAATTTTTTTAATTTTTAAAGTATATAATAAACTTAATAAAAAAAGGTTAATTTAAAAAGTCTGCATCTGTTTAATTTCAAATATGTTTTATAGTATATTTTTATATAATATTTTAAAGTTTCATAAATTAGAATTACAAGTAGGAATGCCGACTTTTGTCTTTTCAAAATCAAACAATACATAAACTTAGTTAATTTAAAAATTGTAAGATATTTCTTCAAAATTAACTGTATTATCAATTATTTTTATATAAGATCTTATGAATTCTTACAACTCGTTAGAAAAATTAAATTAATATTAGAGTAAGCGCACTAACTTAGCATGGAATCATAATAGATTAAGTTACATTAGAAATCAAATATATTTAAATTTAAAATATTTTTATATTCTGCTTTTCGTGATGTGTTGATTATGGTTATGAAATTACGTACTTTATTTAGGAAATGATTAAAATTTTATTATTTACAGGTATTTATCTAATTTTTCTCTCGATGTAATTGCTTCTACTGCATTTGGAACAAAATTGAGTTCTTTAGACGATCCGAATAATACATTTGTGGATAAATTTCGAAAGACAACCAGCACAAATGTATCACTTCGTCTTATGATATTTTGTAAGTAATATTGCACATTTCTAAATTGATTTAAGATTAAAATATTTATTTAGATTAACATCTTTAGATAGAAAATAACTTTGCTTTATCTTAGGCAAAATTATTTCCTATCTGTAAAAATTTTATGTTATCTTATTTAAAATGTATTTATTATTCAGCAAGAAAAGTAACAATAACAATTTTTTTTACTTGTTACTTTTCAATTATACATTGAATAAAAGAACATTTTCATCCTCAACAATTTGTAATTCAAATATTACAAATATATTTTAATACAAGAAGCTTCTGCCTATATGAATGTCCATTTAATTTTATATACTGATTTATATTTCTTTCGATTATTTTTTTCAAAATTTCAATTTACATTTATGAATAAGGCTTAACCAATTAGCGATAGAAATGAATAATCAGTGTAACGTGAACCCCTGGAATTCAAGACTCTGACACCACCTATAACCAGGAATATAGAAAACTCGCTCGAATTTCTCGCCCTTACCATAAGATCACATATGGTACCGCTTGCACACGTATTGAAAAACACGTGTGCGAGCGGTATCGTATGTGATCTTAAGGTAAGGGATGGAGAAGATAAATAAGAGTGAGGGGGAAGCCCAGAAGTGATGCACTCGATGAGAAAATTCTACTAAAACAATGCTAAATTTATTTGACGGAAGTATATAAAATCTACAAGTATACATAACAAAATGACATCATATGATATCATCAATCAAAAGAATTCTACATTACATAAGATTAAATATTAATTAATGGCGCACAAATCGAATTACAGCTATTGATTAACTCTTTTCTACCTTACAAACAAAACCCGCCCAAAGCGCGACAGAGAGAATTTACGTCTGGTCGCGGGTAGATATATACCTTCGATGTTAAGTGATGTCTTCAATGACGACAATTTCTTGATTTAAAAATTCTCTAATTTCATCAATCTTCTATCTAAATTTCTTCGTATCAAATAATGACGGTTGGCTGGCGACGACGTAACTGGATTGGTCATTTGGCGAACTGGACAGGATCGGCAGACCACTAGTCGAAGTCGGTGTAACTAGACGACCTTTTTGAACTTTTCTTGGTTCTTTTATACCTTTTCATTTTCCCTCTGAGTCAAGATGCTATCCAATAAGGTAATATCGTATGGAAACTCTGTTGTTATCCAATCCTGAATTTCCGGAGTCGTTGAAAGGGAAGTGTTATTTTTGACAAACTCTAGCCACTTCCTCGTAATTTTCTTCTAAAATTTTTTCTGTTAACATTCTTTTAAAATAAATTATTAAAATATTAATCTTTTACAAAAACTATAGTCCGGGGTCATACAATCAGCAAGAAAGATTTAAATATCAAACATTATGTTTAGTGATATTCGCCCTAACACGATAATTATTGATGTTACCAGGCCCATGCACAGGGTTTTTAAAAGGGTGGGATTTTAAATATATACAGTATATTGGTTTTATAATATAGTGTATAATTTTTTACACATAGGTATATAATATTTAAAATGTGTCATCTGTAATATACATATACAATTTGTGTCTTTTATGTATAAATTGCTTATTAATTCATTACAGTTTTGTTTCCGAAAATTTTCAAATATCTGAAATTTAATATTTTTGATGAATTTACTGATTATTTCAAAGAATTTACTTTACATGTCATCGAACAAAGAGAGAAACAAAATGAGGTGATATGTTATATTCTATATTTTCTTAAAGATTCTGTAACATTAAATTAATTATAAAAGATTATTGTTTCTTCATTACTAATTTATTTAATTTTAAATTTCTTATGATTTATTTCATATTAATCTATTTATTTTTTTCATAATTTAATTTATAATAAGTATTGAATATACATACAGAAAAGCAACGATTTTCTTCAGTTATTACTCGATGCTCAAAAAGGTACCTTGGAAATTTCACCAGAAGATATCAAAGAAACTAACGAAAAAAATGAAGTCGAATTGAAAATATTACCGAAGCATAAAAGTTTGTCATAAGTCATTTCGTAATTTAAGTAATACAGTTGAACCTCCAATAGCTGCCAGTCGTAAACAGCGGCCATTTTATCAGAAACCTCTTTATTTTGTTTCAACAAAAATGCACACAAAATGTTGTTGGCGCGTTTGTTCGAACAATGGAGAAATTGTATGTTTCTGTCAGTGACTGTTGTTCAGAGGTTTGGCTATTTTTTATGATATTTATAAAATAGGAAATATTTTTAAAATGAATTATTTTCAGCTATGAGCATGGAAGAAATGATAGCACAATGCGTGTTGTTTCTTTTTGCTGGAAGTGAAACAAGTACTAACACATTATCTTTTGTCTTATATTACTTGTCCTTCTATCCCGAATGCTTTTATATTCTGCTTTTCGTGATGTGTTGATTATGGTTATGAAATTACGTACTTTATTTAGGAAATGATTAAAATTTTATTATTTACAGGTATTTATCTAATTTTCTCTCGATGTAATTGCTTCTACTGCATTTGGAACAAAATTGAGTTCTTTAGACGATCCGAATAATACATTTGTGGATAAATTTCGAAAGAC